GAATGAATGGTAACTAAGTAAGAAAAACATTCAAATGGATCTGCATCCTAAAAATTATACGGAAAATAGTTTTTTTAATCACCAATCTGGCAGATGTAGGTACTAAATAAGTGAGAATTAATGAAATCGGACGCGCTCCAAGTGAAATTGACAAATGTTTGAAGTTGGCGATTTCCGATAAATGTGTATAGGAAACTCGTTTCGACGATTACGGGACTGGAACAGATTTGTTGACCGTTTTTGGCAACACTGGGGTTTGGAAATCATCCGGCGTAGCGAAAGGATATATTGAGAACTCTTTGAACAAAAACCATTCCGCTAATGAAGCTTTGAAAGTAAAATTTTAAATTCAAAATTCTAATGAAAGTATACATGTTTTTAATTTTATATTGATTTTTTTGCGTGAAGCACTTCAAACACTTTTTACACATTGTACTATTATGTGATGAAGCTGCTTATTCCATGAAAATTGCTGTCCATGAAAATAATTGAACAATTTTTACAAATAAAATTTTTATTCTAGACGCGTTTCTTTAACACCTATTACATTCCTTATAGCCAGCTATCTATTTAAATGAGAGTGAATAATTGAAATAATGCTGACAGATTCAACTATTGATCATATTTGTCAAATCCTTAATTGATCAAATTGTCGATAGGTACATAGTTACATATTCTCTAGAAGTCATTCAATATTTACTGACAAAAATGGTAGTATTAAATTTCAGATAGACCCTTGTCATAGAAAACGAAGGTATGGTGACATCAATAGCCATACAAAACTTTTTGATACCTTATTAATGAATTATTAATTGATGCAACATCGATGTAATAATGCAATTTACAATCATTTATTTTTTTGTTTCAGAAAAAGTTGGATTTCAACCCCCCTATGGGGGATTAGACAACGGAATGGTGAGTTTCAAAAAGTTTTTGACATTATTTAATACAAAATCGAAAAATTACGAGAGTCCTTAATAGGATAATAATTCTGAAGAAGAGGTGAACATGACAAAACACGAGCACTACAGGAAAAGCTTCGAGGCGCTCTAAGAGCGGTGCCTGTGCGAAAGTTGCGATTCACATTGGATTTGAATCGCTGGAGATTAAATCCATTTGGGAAAACGTTCTCAGGAAGTTTATTGCACATAAACGCAGTTCTCCAGATGAAAGAGTTCTTGAACAGTGAAGTTTGAGGTGTACTGAGTTGAACCCCAAAACGATGAGCAGCCCACAGTCCGTCGCGTATTTTTGATATGTATCGCTCTTGGTAGAATCAAATGGGCGAAGTCACTTGAACACTTTCCGTGAAAGTATCTGAAGAAGAGGGACAAATCTCCAACCTTTCCTTGATGTTCCAGACTATCAAGGTTGCAAGTGATCGCGTCTCCAATCAGGTAGAAGGCTCTTTTCCGGATAGAATCCAGCAACTTCTGGGTTTGCTAAGGGGCATGCTCCATAAATAAGAACAATACTCCAAAGAAGGTCTGATCTGAGCTTTATAAAGCATCAAAAGTTGCTGAGGTGTGTACAGTTTTCTGGTTCAGAACAGTATTTCAAGCTTTTAAAAAGCAGCCTTTGCAGTTCCAGCGACATGATTGTGCGAAGATATATTGGTGTCCATTTTAACCCCTCGACAAACTTATCGAAGCAGAAAGCGGAATTGTCTGTCCTGTCATTATTATATCCGGTTCGGAGCCATTTATCTTTTTGGAGAAAACCGTTGCCTGGGTTTTTGTGGTATTGCATTGACCCCAGTTACTTTCACCCCAATTCGAAATCACTTCTGGGTCCTCATTAAGATATGCAACCTCCTGCTGCCGGTGAAGATGTGCCTCCGCAGCCGATGTCCTGGAATCCAAATGGAGTGACCAGACAAGTGTGCTGTCGTCAGCAAAGCAATATATTGGATTCTTGGTTTCTTTCAATAGCTCGTTGATATACAATAGAATAGAGGGTTGGAGACAATATGGATCCCTGGGAACACCAGTGTAAAGACGTTATCTATGGCATGCGCCGAGAATACAAACTCACATCATCAAAGATGGATGAACACCTCTGTCGGCGGTCTATTTATTACAAGGCGAAATGTTTTTGCGATTCGATTTCATTTAGTTGTCTGTTTGCAGTGAAAACTGAGAAATAGAAAAACTTCGTATTTTTTTTACTATTTGAGTATATGACCTTCCGTAATCATGGAAATCAACAAAGTTAAATTGCTGGATTGTAAAAAAGGGCAAACTGAAAAGTTCACCACGAAACGATACTGTGTAATGATTACCGAAAAGTCAAATTAGTTATTAACTTGTCGTATTCTCACATTTTGTTTACAAGCATTATTGAATAATCATTGAAATGAAATGAAATTAGTATACTTAGCTTTCTTTAGAAGGACGACTTCTCGTCGACACGTGTATTAACGGAAATATAGTTTTCAATTGAGCTGTTGTTACAAGTGATTTTTTTTGGTTTTGAAAACGGAAAAATATTTTTCGAATCTGAATCCTTCGTTTTTCAGATTGTGACAAGTTATACACTATACACCCAAAAAATAGCAAGAAATATTGTAATGTGTTGCATACCAAATATAAATTGATATGTAGATAAGGTAAACTATACCTTTATTAATTGAAATAGTATTTTAAACTGAAGAGTTGAAAGAAAATATAAAATTAATATGTGATCTGATATGTGACAAAGCGTGTCTGCTTTCCGTCGCAAGCTGGATATCTTTGAGAAATATATTGCAAGACAAGAATTTACTCATTGAATAGAACTGGGCGATACTTGATGAAAATCTATATTAAAACTCATTAAAACAGTATATTATATGATTTTCACTATATAGGGTTTTACAAAAATCTTCATAGTGAAAACCATGCAATAAACTGTATTAAGGAGTTTTAAGAATTTACCTACTCATTTTGCGACAATTCTTGAGTATAAAAAACTGCGAAGAAAACATTGCAGTGTTTGTAAAATTTCTGGCCGATCTAAGAAACGAATTTGCTTTAAGATACCAAGAAATTGTAGAGATGGGCAAGCTATCTCCTTTTCTTAAATCGCCATTTGAAGTTGATGTAGCGGCAGAATGGACAAATGTGGCTACCAAGTTGTTTGAACTGTCAAAGCCATCACTTCAAATAGAGATAATTGATTTGCAAGAAGATGTGTCTTTGCAAATGTATAAAACGGTATCCACTGAATAATTTTGGACCAAACATGTCCCAGAAAAATATGAAAATTGCAAGAAACACTGTGTTTGATTCGACATACGTATGTGAAACATCTTTCTCAAAGATTTTTTTAAAAACATATCGTTCGAGAATAACGGACGGCCACCTAGAAGACACACTTCGAATTTGCCATTCCTCTCGAAAACCAAACAAAAAAAAACTGGCTTAAGACCGTCGATGTAGTTTCTCACATTAATTTTAGGCCTTGTTTTATAATTCAGAATTTGATTTGAAACCAAAATAATACATAGGTAGCACTTGCTTATTATCAGTTGTTTTTTTCTGGACCTCATTAAAAATTTTCCACAGTATCCGGACCCCATCTAAAACTACTTGCCGACCCCTGCCGTAGAGTCTTAAGTTGTAATGTTTACTTCATATCTTTTCAAGACTAGAACCGACGTATCATTCGCTGTCTCGTTCACTTTAAACACAGGAAAAGAAGAGAAAAAGGAGAACTAAAAAAAAAGAAAATAAGAATATAATGAATATCATAGATAAGAGACCCCTGAAGAAGCCATTGTGCGGCGAAACACATGTTGCGTTCTTGTAACATCTAGTAAAAATCTCACGATAAAGTGTTTGTTGAATTAGAAACAGATAAGTTTTGAGGAAGATTAATTTAAATTTCTCAGGTTTACGTGCAAATATGAATATGGAAATTCTGGAGACACTAAAAGGTTCTCCAGAAGGTGATTGGCAGCATCCAATAAGTCACCTATCCTGAATCCTGAATGGGAAATGAATAAGTAATGGTTTTTTAGCCGGAATGGAAAATAGAAACATTGTTAAAAAATCTGCTTTATGCTGAGGTTTTATTATATCCTATATGTTTTTCTCCGAATAGTAATATTCTGAGAACGATCATATAAATCATTCAGAGGTCCCCTCAACAAAATCATCGACTCTCAATGAAACTTTAATTGCAGACAATTATTTGCTCTCTATACATTTAATTTCAGGTGACAAATAATATAAACGCTGAAAAGAATCAAGTTTAGATGAATGTCAATCAACCAAAGTATACATGATCCATAATGTTTCAAACAGATATCACTTGAAAAATTGAAAAAAGCGGCAAACCAACGATTTCCCAAAAAATATGAACATCCTTAAAAACATTTCGAGGTGCTTTAATGTCACTACAAGTCATGCTAGCTTTATTATTACTTACTGGCACTCGAAATGATATTAGATGTCTCGGGATCAAGTACAACATGGACTAATTAAACAGAAATAGAATCCAGTCAAATACAGTTTCGTAATGCGAGCCTCACTGGATAATATATATGAATGTTATTTTATAAAACAAAACTTCCAAACAAACTTCTATGATATCACATTTTATTCCCTTTTCAATTTTGGGTATATAAAAAATGTATAGACAAATTATTATTATTATTATATGAGTGAAACTTAATTTTAAATGAAAAACAGATATGTTAGTCCTTCAACAATTACGGAACTAGCAATTGTCGCTCAATTGAGCCCATGCTCAATTCCTTTTTATACGAGTATCAGGGAGAGCCCCAAAGGAAAGTTTGTACTTCGAGTCACTCTACAAAATGTTTTCATTTTCTAAATTTCAGATTGATTTAGATCATCATGCAACGTGACAAATCGCCAGCCTTTAATGAGATCTGTTTGTTTTTGCACAATTTATGTAATTAATAAGTTATTACCAGCAATTTCTCATGAATTGCAGATAAGGTTCAATTAAAAGGCAATTATTGTCGCTAAACATCAATAGAGTGATAGTTTGATCTTTCAAAGAGTTAATGATAAACCCTTGATCTCATGTGTGTTAATGCTTTCTTTGTGTATTACAGATACTGCGTTTTATGTTGTTACCAACAGAAATGAGTAAATAAACACTTATACAGATGAATATGATCAATTCGATTCGTTTTCTTCACCAACTGCACATATTCAGACTAATAAATATAAATGGGTTGTTCCTATAACGTCTGTCATTCATATTTAAGCACCTTTTTAGTTGAATGATATGGAAAAGTTCTAATCTTTGAGTGGATGATGTTCCACGATGTCATCGTAACGGATTGTAAATAACTGATATGACGCACAAACGTGGATTCAATGAAGGTCATCCAAAAGTACTGCTGTTCAAGCATATGTTCATTTCGTGAGACTAAAACTTGAAGTGAATCGACATAAGATATATTTCGAGAATGAGGCATCTTGTGAATATCACGTCACACTATGTCGCCTCCGCTATAGTTACAAGTTGTCATCAGCCAAATGAAGCTCCATGAGTATAGCTTCACGGTGGTCAAAATTAGAGAACGGTCGTAATTCTCTTCTCCGGTCTCTTGCAGTACCAGTCCTAGGAAAGTGGTTATATTTTATTTATCAGGAGTCTCTTCTATCCCTAACATCAAAAATGTTACTCGGCTATCATTTTCCAAAAAGTTGAATATGATATCAAAAATATTAATACCATTATATCCGAAACTACAGCGGAGAGCTGAATTTGCCGCTTGAAAAGAGGTGAGTTTTGAGATCGAAAATAATCTATTGCTAGTGCATAACACCATCAAACTGATCATCACAACATATTTGTGTATGAATCATTGATTAGAGTGGACAAAAATACAACAATCCTCGATACAAGGCAAGTTGATGAAAGTTCAGCGGCTCCACTTTAGCTTCAGAGATAAC